CTTGAAATATCACAGCCGACAGCGGGGTCGGTGTCTAAGCGTCTGTTAGTATGTGTTTGATCATCTAGTTTGATCTAGTTTTCGTTAGCAACTGTCGACGGTAGTTTTGCTGTTAACGGAAGTGAGTTGTGGCTACTAATTGTTCATAACCATGTTGTAGTTATGTATTAGGTATAGGGGCTTTTTATGGCCTTGTTAACTAGGGGATATACGTTGTGGATTCAATGATATCTTTTACTTGCGTTTAGTTTCTGCTTTATTTGAAAGTTATTTATTACTGTAAAAGCTTACTAAATGTGGTAATTTTGACCCCGGGTACTTGAACTTTTACTGGTACTGTGTCCCCGACGACGTCAATAGGACATAACACTTTACCAGCCCTGCGCTGAGGGTTAATGATGGCCATATTTCTACTCAGAAGGGCCCCGTGGGGCTCGTTAGAGCACCTCATGGGCCCTATGTAAATAGCCACACTAAGGTCTCCATAAGGGCCCCACGCCGACTTCTGAGGGCCTCTTGCGGCTTTTAAGGACACCTCGGTGGTCTCCAAAGGCCCGTCACTGGCCTCTGAGAAGTCTTACCGGCCTATGAGGGGACAGTTCTAGGGGCATTTCCCACCTGTGATGGTCCCACACTCATTTTTCTGAGGGCCCCATAACGGCAACTGTGGGACCCTCGTCGGCGCCTATGAGGGCCACACCGGTGTCTCTGAGCGTTTCACACCCCCAACTCCGAGTGCCTACACCATTGCCTATTAAAGCCCTATATCGGCGGCTCTGAGGACCCACCCAACACCTGCGCATCTAAAGGCCACCCACTGATGACTTGAGGGCCCCACAACGGTGACCCTGAGGGCTCCACCGGCGTCTGACAGTACCATGCCGGTCTCTTAGGACCCCGCAGGACTTCTTCTGCCGGCCTAAGAGGACCCCTTGCCGGTCACTGAGACCCCCTGCCGGCTTGTAGACAGTTCGCGTCAGCAGCTCTAAAGGCCCCACACCCGTCTGTAACGGCTCTACACCAGCGTCTATGAGGGCCCGGAGCAACGCCTGTAAGGACCCTCATCGGTGCCTCTGAGAGAATCACACCAGCACCTCTGATCGCCCACACCGGCACCTGCATGGCGGCCCCACACCGGTGCCTCCCTTACCGGCGGCTCTGAGGGCCCTACGCCGGTGATGCTGAGGGTGCCACCGATAACTGAAGGCACCACACAAGCCCTTAGTGTAGCTGAGCTTTTATCCCATGCCGGCCCTCCGAGGGCGTCACGTCAGTGCACTCATTGCCCCACACCCCTCCCTCACACCCGGAGCGGGTAAACTGTGTTATACCTATAGCAACGATTTTACCACCGTTGTACGTTATGTATTTCTCAAAGTTGAGTCAAAATGGTCCAGTACAAAATCTGGCCTGCCAAACTTATGGGACAAGGTCAGGCCCAAACACGTTTTGGGCAATCAGTCTCAGTCCATGACTCCATTCTTCGGCAACTACGGTGCAAGGCCGATACTGTAGAAACTTGCAATTTGTACCCTTGACCTGACCTTGACCTTGACCTCAAACTTAAAATTAAGTACCTACATGTTTTTAGTTATTCGTGATGAGATCTTTCGATTGGCGTTTGAATTTTCCAAATCGGACCATTAGTTCGGGAGATAACGGGGGTAAAATTTACCCCCCCCAGCCCCGCGCGTTCGGCTGGAGACCCCAGCCCCGCGCGGGTTAATGCATTGGGTGAGCCAAAATTGTTTTACAGTGGCGCTATTAAAACAAGCTCTCGAACCGATTTAACACCAGTATAACGCCTTTTGGGGCGACTAACGGAGCGAGCGAGAGGGTGAGCCTTGCACGTGCGAAATTGCGAGGGGGTACCTCCAACTGAGTTGTGCACGGCACCCTACTAACCGGTCTCTAGCGATGTGCCAAATTTGAGCACAATCGGCCCAGCCGTTCTCGAGATCTGGAGGCGGCACCCTGCACGTGCGCACGTGCAGAATGGGTCCCAACTGACTTTTGCACGGCACCCTACTAACCGGTCCCTAACCATGTACCAAATTTGAGCGCCATCGGTCCAGCCGTTCTCGAGATCTGGAATCGACCCCTGCACGTGCGCACGTGCAGTAGCACCTCAACTCTGGCACATGGATATGCATTGCATAGTGGGTGCCTACCTACATGCCAACTTTCAGCGCAATCGGCCAAGTAGTTACCGAGATATTGCAACAATTGCAAAAGTGACACCTCTTCGTTTTGCACGTGGCACGTGCATAAGGGGTCACCCACAGGCATCGGGAATAGTCCAATACTTGGTAGAAGGAATGAAGCTACCCTACAAAAATTACCGCATGTAAATCGGTCAAGTGGTTGCTGAGATATAAGCCTCGCAAAAGCGTGACCACGGCCGGCCGGCCGGCCGGCCGGCCGGCCGCTCATACTCAGAAATTTCCGTTAATCTAAGGAAAGACTACGCTCGCTTCGCTCGCTCCGTAATCATTTCTTGCATGATGCCTGATGGCTACAGTAAAAAAGAACAGCAAAAAAAACTACAAAAACTATGGCACGCCTTTCTGAATGCTATTGAGCACCCCCAATGATTTTTGGAAAACTACACCCATGGCTTTTGAGTTATTGAGAAAAATGTTGTTTTTCGTCAAACCGATCTAATATAAGAGGTCTACCGGTGATTCAATCACGGCGCCTTTCTTGCATGATTAGTTTCTATTTTGCACTTAACTGTGAAGAACAAAGTTATAAACTTAGTTATAGTCACACTTTAGGAAAGGCAAGGTTTTGCAATGTTGGGCTATTTGACATATACGTCATGATAATGACAGAATTTAGATTTGGGGCAAGACGGACCACTGTGGTCCATCTTACCCTGTGGTGGTCCATTGTACCCTGCATAATATGCAGTGCATATGGAAAGTTCTTTTCCAAAACAGTGACACAAGTTTAAGTAAGCTAATTTTTTCAGGAAGGAGTCTTTGTTGCATGTGAGCCATGCATGCAAGTGCTCAGTTAGCATGCATTCATGCCAAACGACAATCAACACACATGTTCCCAGCTTTTAGCTGCACTTCCATCACACATGAGTAAAGAATAAAGGCTCATTTTGTTATTTTACCATTCTGGTTACTTTTTCTTACAAGAGTATAGAGCAGAAGTGTAAAGGCCTGGCTACACTATGCGTTTTCTTCGTGCGTTTTTGCGTGTTTGCGTGTTTTGCGTGATATCGTTCTAGAAAAAAGAACGATATTACGTTGTTGTGATGTCTTTTCATCTTAAATTTTAGTTACATAAGAGTTATATTAGCTTTTGTATATAACCAAAGTAAAAATTATATTGTTTATAACTTTTTTCCTAGAACGATATTACGCAAAACACGCAAACTGCAAAAACGCACGCAGAAAACGCATAGTGTAGCCAGGCCTTTACACACATGAACGGATAGCAGGCACTGCTGGGTGGTCCGTCTTACCCCACGTTTTTTCTTGTCTGAGTTTTTGACATGTCCCTCTTTAAGAGCATCCACCACCTAGATGTCTTTAAGTTGGAATTTAGTCTTTACACATATCAACAGAGGAAGGATTGAGCATTCCGAAGACTATAAATAATATGAATTACGAGAGCAGTGTAGCAAGATATGCGGCCTCAAACCTTAGCTGGTCCGTCTTACCCCACCTTCCCCTATTTCCTTGTGCCCAAGTCGGTTCGGTTTCGGTATTCCCTCACGGTTTTGGTTGGTATTTGGTTTGGTAGGTATCGGTATTCCGATTTTCCGTAATTGATACCACTAACACGAACACCCTCAAAAGTAAAGGGGGAGTTTGTGCCATCATTGAGCTGGGCTCGGGATACCCGAGCTCTTATTCCACGCCGGCTTGGCTTTGGAGCCGCCACAGACGGCAGAGGTCAAGGTCACCGCTATGTAGGTCAGCTGTGGATTTGCTGCGCCCACTCCCAGGCACCCCCACTTAACCCTATTCCTGGCGGGGGGGCCTCAGGAGCCCCCCTCCCCTGAGGTTTTTTGGTTATTTCTCCCAAACGCGTTGAGCTAGGAAGCTCAAATTTTCTGACTTTTCCTAAAAGGCTTCTACGCAACATGTCTGTAAATTTTGAGTTGATCTGACCTCAGGTCAGGTCACCAGAGGCGGTTTGGTGACCCTACCTCAGAAAAGTTTGCAATCACGCCAGAGCTAGAGTTTTTGACCGATCAGTTTCTTCTCTTCAGGCTTTAGTTAGGGTACCAGTATGTGCAATTTGTATATCTCGGAATTTTGATATCGGTGACCTAAGGTCAGGTCAGTTTCGCGACCTCCCCATTATAAGTCAATGGGGGGAAAATCAACTCCCTGTTTTTACCACTAAAACGGGTCGGAATGGCCCCATATACCATACATGACTTCATATACGATCAACCTTCACTACCTTGAGGTCTGTTTTGCTGTTGGGCAGCTGTGAGGTCATGTGACGTCATCAAAGGTCACCAAAGGTTTTTGGCCAATAACTCCGTACAGGAACAAGATACAGACGCGTGGATGGTCTCATTGTGTTCAGCTCGGCAAGACGCATCGAATGATATACATGATGACCTCGAGGTCACGTCACCTGAGGTCAACCTTTGACCTTGACCTTTCGAAGTCAACATATATATCATTCGACGCGGATTGACGAGAGGATCACGATGATGCCCTTAGTTTGTTCCTATCTTGACTAATTCGAAAGTTATTCGAGAAAAACTCTCTCCATATCTAGCGCCGCCATTTTGACTTTTTCGACCCCTGTGACGTCATCTTTGACCTGACCTGAAAATGACCTTAGTAAAAATTGTAGATCTTTACCGTGCGTATCCGATGCCGTTTACCGTTTGTCGCTGCGATGTGTAATTTTTGAGATCTGAAGGGCGGCCGAATCGGCCCCCCCCCCCGCCAGTTTCTTGTCCCGGCGGAGCCCGCCAGGAATAGGGTTAAGCAAAAGCTTTCATAAATGATCAAAACACGTTTGCGAGTGCCATTTCTGTAAAAGTTGTGTATTCAACACCTCGTCCTAAGCCTCTCATACACTGACAAGAGGTTTAAACACGGTCTATTGTAGAACCTTACTGAGCTAATCTACTTCCCAATCATGTATTTCAATCGCCATCAGCCCGTGATATCCCATGAGCGACACCGAACCGGACATATCAGGTCTAAACGAACCACAGCCGACCGGACCACCGATGGTCCGACACAGTGACGGGCGAGGTCCGATATCGCCCGGACCGGACACCCTCACAGCTAGCTCCAACCACTCTCTGGTCTAAACAAGGCTATAGAACTCCAGGTAAGGACACCAGCCGTTTGACCTTGAACGCCGCCGGCCGGCCGATGACGTCATTGGAGGCAAGCCGGCTCGGCGGACACATTGGGCGAATGCATAACGGAGGGGCATTGGAACGTTGCGGGAGCCGGGGAGATATTTTAATGTGGTTGCATACCACCATTGCTATGTTGATTGATCTACAGACTGCATTCTTATAAACCACGATGCATCCTAGGCCTGGATGGTGCGTAAATTCGTAGAACGATCGCCCCGTCCGACGTCGTGGTTGAAGCTGTCTGTCTATGTATCAAAAGACCCTAAGACGGGTGCAATAGCGGCGACCCAATCCCGTCTCTGGTGAATCTAGAGGGGTCGTAAGGACCCAGGCCGAATGTGACCGTCTATTTTTAGGGAAACGGGGTCAATGTATGTATATGCTCCTGGTGGGTATCGACTGTGACTTATTCACAACTGGCGGATCCAGGAAGCGGTCTTGGATACTGTGGGGGCTTACCCCAAAAAGGTTTCTCCGAATTAATTTTTAAAACTCGGATTTCCATTCCTTGCGCACTGTTGTGCAGTGTGATTAGGTAACCAACATTTTCTCAGAAAAGTTGTGAAGTTTTCTTTTATTCTCGAAAAGCGATTTCGGGCGCTGCCCCGGTTGTGGGGGAAGACATTTGCCCCAAATGCCTTCCCTTGGATCCGCCAGTGGGCTGCCCCACCCCGAGCTTTACTAAAAACGCCTTCAAACCCTATCAGAAACCGATGGTAAGCCAATAACTCCTCTCTGTCTGCCCGCCTAAATATGCTACACATGGTACGGCACCCGGCCCGTCGGAGCTCTGAGCCGATCGTGACATTTTCGGCTTTCCCCATCCCAAGCTCGATTAGACACCTTCTCCCTCCCCACCCGACTGCTGATGACAATTCAAATTCAATGCCTCATCTCTGTCTTCCCGCCCATCACCCATTTATTGCACACCGTTCAGCGCCCGGCCCCGCCAGAAGTATCCTAGCGCGCTGAGCAGTTGCCTCCAGCCGCGTCATCGCGAGGCCCCGCGCGGCCCATAACTGAATACATTGCGCGAATAGCCGTGTCACCCCCCTGGGTCTAAACTGAAACTACAACACAACAGCACAGCGGCGTCAAGGCCCTAAGCGTGAGCCAGCGTGACGTCACGACAACACACGTGACGTCACCACGGCGGTACCTCCGGCACGGTGACAACGGTTTACCGACGGCTGGACAGTGGCCCCGAGGGTGATACATTTCGGATACTGAATAATAATATACCTACTGTCTATCAAAGCAGTGTCAACAAACGTAGCAATCTGTGCTCAAATGATCAAGCATTTAGATGGCCACTCAGCCCAAACCAGCCTGGCACGGCGGTAAAGTACCCACGGACCTGAGCCGATGGGACAGGGCGGCGCGAAGTACTTCTGGATATGAAGGTCTAGACGTGCATTGTGTACAGTACAGCGCTGCCGACGGGACACGGTGCTGCCATCTGTTGTCGAATTCCGACACTGCCGCCGGCACCGGAGCGGTCGAGGCACTGATTAGTCAGGCTTTTAGAAAGAGTACACGGTGATTTTGCTGCCATTGGGAGGCTCAGTAAGCTTGTCGATTACAGACTCTGGAAACAGAGCACGTCAGATTACACACTGTTTGCTAGTGATGTCACATGGGGCAACTCAGACTGATGAATTCACCTACAGGTACATAAACGAACACAATGACAATGTGTGTATCACCGACAAATGACGTCATGAGGGCTGATACTGATACTGTGACGTCACTAACGGACATACACGTAACCAATTGTGGCGCCAGTACTGGTGACGTCATGTGCGTCAGTGTGCGTGTCCGAGAGGCCGCTGGCGCCGTGTCGGCTGGTGTGGGTGGTCAGAGACGCCGTCACTTACTGGGGACCCGAAGATTAATGATGCGGGACTGGTCATTGTCACATCCCAGGTCTGTCTTGTGCAGGGCGGTCAGGACGGCCTGGCAGTTTTCGAGTGAGGAGGTTAGGAACAGTGTCTTCAGTTTCCTGCATGTCACTGCCATCCTGCAACAGATCACAACACAACAGAACGGGTCAGTATACGGGACACAGTCACACAGTGGCACCAGCGGGCGACTCAACACGGAAACACCATGTAGTTCCAATGCCGTTCATAACAGAACATATGTGCCTCCGGCTATCTCAAGTTCTCAGTCTGGTGCTGCAATTTGCTACGCACGTTTCACACGATACTCTTAGAGCCTTATAACACCCAATATTATGTCCATATGCATATTAATACCAGTCCAGTCCAGATAACGTAGCTGCCCATCCGTAAGTCCGTCTGTCTGTCTGTTTGCATCGCATCAACACAATAACCTGAATAAATAAGCCTGCTTTTGGATGCCTATTCTTCTGTAACGAGCTTGTTTCCATTTTCAATGTCCCTGTGCCCGTATTCCTATACACACACCGGATGAGTTATCTCGGGGGTTATTGCGGTCTATCCAGTTACACATAATATCCGCCGGCGCCGTCCGGCCGACTGACCTGCTGACCGCTGCCACCTCTGACTGGGTCAGGGCAGGGATGTCCGTGAGGGGCCGGGTGTCTTTGAGGTGCACCGTATCCAGCTGGGAACAGCCGTGAAGGGCGGACAGCACAGTTTCGGAAATGACGCCCGCTCTGTGAAGAGTGACGTCCTTCAAGCTGGTGAGGGCAGCCAGGAGGCGTCCTGTCGCCTCCGGTGTCACGGACGGTGAGTCTGTGAAACATAAAGACAGACACACATACCGACTGGACACCGTTCCGTGCTTCTATCCTCAGGATACTGAAATCCTTCTCCTCCACGCCGCCACCCCCCTCCGGGCTGGACAGGCAACTTTATCTCATGCGGGCTGCTCCCTTGGAGCAGCACCGCTGCTCCCGAGGGAGCGCACCCCGTAGCCGGGTGCAGTGAGTGCCTTGGGGCTGGGTGGCCTGTCCTCTGGATGGGCTCAGCCCCGGCGACTCACTAGGGTGTCTGCCCAGACCAATGTCTCCCCCTATACCCTATCATCCTCCCGGCTCTGAAATGGCCTTACTGGACCGAAAGAGCCTAACCCAACAAAACAAACAAAAACAAATACCGACTGGAATAGCTGCAACTGAAGACAAATAATATTCACAGCAAGATATTATACTTAGTACTAACCAGTAGGACACCTTTTTGGGAAACGGACGAGCGAGAGCAATCAAGGAATAGTGGGAATGCGCAGTAGTAAGATCCAACTGCTTTTTATGGGCCGTCCTTCTAACCAGTCAATAATAACGTGGCAGCCTCGAGCGTCCATCGTTATTGAGAATCATATCATCAAATATGTATAAGCATACATATTTGAGCGGCCTTGACCGCTCGCATGTCGTTGGCAGTTCGGTCCCTCCCCATCTATACCGAGGTGGGGAGGGGAGAAGAGGGGAAGAGAGGGGAGGGAGCGGCATCCGCTCGGCACTTGGCAATACCTGGCTGACCCCGCGCTCCCTCGCTGACCTTTGTCCTGCCCTCAGGCGAAGACCGACTTCCTGGCCTGTAGCGGCCCAGCGGAAAACCGAGCTCGCGGGGCGCGACTCCATTGGCCCAATCTTATAAATGGAATGCTGTCGTATTCACGGCATTAGATAATATTACTAGTGACAGGCGCGGATACAAGGGGGGGCCATGGGGGCCATGGCCCCCCCCCTTGGCCGATTTTTTTCAAAAATAAAATAAAAAGTTAAAAGTTAAAAAGCTGAAAAGGGGGCCTCCTGAAAATAAAGTGGCCGAAATCCGATGAGTTTTTTTTTTAACCTACCCACTTAGTTATTGCTTAGAAGACTAGCTGAGAAGACTTCTTTGTTAGAAGATTGGTAAAGCTTTTCATAACTTGGAGGTCTCTTATACTCACAGAGATGACCACTTTTACAGGGCCTCCTAACCTGCACAGAGGGCCTCCAAGCCTGCACAGATGTTGAGATGTTGCCTGAACAGCTAGATAAGCTCAATAGACGCAGTTTTTTTTGGGGGGGGGCCAACAAGTGGGGAGATGGGGCCTCCAACAGGTGGGATTATGGGGGGGGCCTCCTGGTTTCTAATGGCCCCTCCCTTGGAGATTTTCTGGATCCGCCCCTGACTAGTGATACCAGCAGTGGATGTGGTAAAATACAGTCCAAAATAAACGAAAGCACTCGATTCGTGCATAATGCGCCCTCCCATTCAAATAAGCCCGCCCACTTCGATAGATGGTGTAGTTTCAAAGGGCGTAAAAGATGCAAAACATTACCGATTTTTTTTTAGCTCGGCCACTGGGACCGACAATATACAATTGACTGAAATGCATGAAAACCATTTTGCATTTAGGTAAAAGCCGTTTTCTGCACCCAAACTTTAGCCAGTGACGCCCTGTCCATTCTAAAGCGTTTATAAGATTGGTCCCAGCACCCGATTTTATATGAGGAAGTCGTTTAAAAAGCATCTTATTTCTAACGAATTTATTATTATGGCCACTTTTACAGGACGTCTATAGAGCTTTGACTTTTACATTTCTTCCTCGTTCAGGAGAAACGTTTTAACCCTCACCGGACCTTCAGGTTTTCTGAATACCGAGGGACGTTGGGGGTTGGAAGTGAGGAAACAACCCCCTTCGCCGATTCGCCCCTAATTGAGCTAGAGCCTCACGAAAGAAACGATCGTGTGCGTCGTTACGAAATGCAGCGATTGGTCTCCGATTTAAGGACCAGGGTCAGCCGATTGACTTCGGAGGTCAGGTCAAGTGGCCCAAGGCACAGGTTCGGTTTTTTGGTAAATAACTTCGCTAAAAATGATCGCAGATCCGCGATTTTAGCAACATCGTGTTTGTCTAGCTCAGGCGTGTCGAATGGTATACTCTTTCTTCGGGTGAGATCAACTTAACCCTCGCCCGTATAGAGGGGGGGGGGGTCGAACGGACCCCCTCCCTCGGTTTTTCGCGAATAACTCGCGTAAAAAGCGGCCGATCGCGACGAAACTTTCGTTACCCTCGCGTTAATCAATTTTACACCCACCCTGAAATTGTCATGACCCTGACCTTAATGACCTTTGACCTGCGACCTACTTTTCGAGACCATGTTTGGCCGGAATCGCGATTCGGGGTATGTCGGCTCGCATTAGCGGCGCGTTTGCAGTCTTTTCGTAGTTTTAAGCGTTCAAACATGGGATATGATGTTGCATCCATGCATTAGGGTGGGTGTCAAGGTCACCGGAAAGTCAGGTCAGGTCATTGACCTTTGATGACCTCGGTTCACTTTTTCGAGTTTTACATGTTTCTAGGCCAGTTTTAGGAGCTGAATTCGAATTTAGCAGCCATATGAACATTTACGAAGTAGTTTTGGTGCCCTCGTAACATGTTGCGAAGCTGTCAGAGGCGGTTGCCACCTACTACGAATACCCTTACTGGTTGACCTGACCTGACCTGACCCGACCTGGCCTAAATGCATGAAGAATCATCTGTGATCAAAACTAACATGATATTCGTGATCAGCACCCCGAAAACCCCATAGCAGCCACGCTTTACGACTTTCTAACAGGCCCGATTTTCCCGACTTTTGGGTCATTGACCTGACCTGGAAAGTCAACCAATGACCTAGGACCTTAAAATTGGGTATCATCGACTTCCTCTCGTCACGGCCAACACGCTCGTTTTTTTTTCCGCGAAGCTCTAGCTCGATCAGGGGCGAAACGGCAAGGGAGGGTCCAACGGACCCCCCCCCCCTTATACGTTTGCGGCTGGAAAAACACCAATATGGGCGAGAGTTAAGGTGTTAACCTCGGGTCAAGGTCAGGTCACAGCCCGTCAGGTCACGAAGCTGGTAAAAGGAGGTCATATTGCATATCAATCGATTCGGCAGGTCTTTTCATGTCCATTAGTGGCTTTATCGACTCGGTAGCTTTAGTTGATCGGGAGTTATTGACGAAAAACTGATACCCTTGGTTACGTGATAAATGACGTCACGCAAGATCAACAAAGCAAAATTAAAGCATCAGACCTTGCAAGGAGCGCATGAAATCGCGATTCCGTGTGCTTGAGAATTTGAGATAGTTGTATATCATTTCCGGACCAAACTAGCAATTTCCATATTCCCCTGACTTTTAATGGTGAGAGACTGACCTGATCTCAGGCGACCCTTCAGAAAATCCGAGATATACATTTATACAAGTTGTGAGACTCTCGATCATACTATAAGATCCTGTAAGTTTCATCTCCCTATGAAAGCTCTGCACTGAGGGTGTGGCGAAGTTGAACATTTTAGAAGTGTGCACACAGTCCTAAAATGTTGAGGACAGTTTAGGACAGTTTCACACAGTTCATTTTAGGACTGCTCATTTATGACGTCATAGATCAGTGACCTGACTTGACTTAAAAATGCGGTTGGCGTAAAAAAAAATCTGACTTATCAAATCCCGACTAAAAAAATCGACTTATAATCCGGTTAATCAAATCCCGACCATGTTTTTACCTGGCCATTAATGTTCTAGCCTTACAGGTGATTGTTTGAACGCGGAAGATGCTGAATCTTGGTTAACCCCATACTTATCGTATGATAAAGAACGTCAGTGTTAGAAAGTTAATTAACAATTTTATTTAGGGTACTTTAATTCAAGTGGGTATAATCCGACTTGACAATTTACTAGGAGGGTTTTGCAGCGCTATTAGTTCGGCATTTAATTATAAATCATTGCTAATTTCGATCCGGATATCGTTATTCAATGCTGGCCTTTGCGTCCTCAGAAAGTTGTTTATAGTCATGAAGGCTTGCATTGACCCATACTTTCCATTTTTCAGCACTATTATTCGCCGTAGTTGACCAGATGTTTTTCTTCAGCTCTCCCCTGAATCCTTTGGCTTAGACCTGGCGTATCACCCGTGCATCGCAAGACGCACCTACCACACACAAGTTCATGATCCCCACGAACCCACATCAGCGTCCGTTCGCTTGGTGTGTGACCCCTTGACCTTTGGCCGCGACAACTGCCAGCTTGCTGGAGCACCCCTCCCTACACGCGCTGCCCCGCCCGCTCCCCTCCCTCCCCCCCCCCCGGGGTCGTGTCACGAAGGTTCGGGCTTACGCTACTACCGGCCGCTGCGCAGCTGTCACCTAGCGCCTGGGAATGTGTGGTCTGGTGCGGATTCAGCCAACTACCGGCTCGCGACACCAGCGCCACGTAGTGGCGACGGTACATTCTTTTTAGACACACTGTACATGTCACCCACATGCAGCCTGCACACTTGTTTTTATTTGGCCCAATCGCTCTATAATTTCTCAAACTCCCTGACCGGTCAGTGAGTTTGCAAACTTCCTAGTGAATTTGTAAACACTAAACTCCCTAGTGAGTTTGCAAACTCACTGATGGGTCAGGGAGTTTGCAAACTCACTAGGGAGTTTGCAAACTCACGGATTTCTTAAACTCCCTGTAAAACATATACTATACTCACACAAAATAGCCAAATGCATACACTCATTAGCATAATCAGTACGATATGTGTTTAAGGATAGGCGCTACGCTTGGTCAATTTGATAAAGTGCAGTAGTAAGCGGAACGTAAGAGTCACGGGTTCCCTACATATGCCATGGCCATTGGTCAGTGGTCACGATGTCTTGGCACCGATGCTCTACTCGTGCTGGTGTTGCTCACCACCAATGAAAAGCTCTGTGACTGTGTGGGTCGCCAGGACAGCCAGCTGGTCCAGTAGTGCGTCTGTTGCTAGCTGTACACCGACCAGCAGTCCCTCCGACGGACATCGTCTGTATTCCACCGGCTCCAGAGTCATCCCCGACCCTGTAGAGAGGGATATGATCGCCTATCAACACTGTGTACAGGGGACGGTATTAGCCTGACACTATGGGTCGGCTAGTCAGTAAATAACACTCGTATAGGTGGCATGAAAATCACCGTCTCCCTAGTCTTTTTCTGCCATTGCCATATGCATACTATTCATTTGTTGTCATCTCATTCTGGATCTTTATATAATCTATCGTTTGATTTTGAGTGCAATATGTTCAGGCAATAGATGTTAGCTTGCATTTGTAATTCATGATATGCGCATTGTGAATTTAATTCATTCTCAAATCTCAGATTTCAACACTGATTGGACTTCGGTCCGTTAGTAGGTATACTCATTACTCTTAAACAAGCAAAAAAGTAGTTGCAAAAGAGTAAATGTATTTTGCAGGTAAGGTACCATTTGCATCTTAAAAATTTTCTTTCTTCCATCAACTCTCCAACAAAACATACAACAGTTACAGGGGGGCCCATTGTCTTCCTTTTTAAGCCTCTCTCGAGATCTGGGCCACGTTTCATAAAGCGAATCCGTAACTTACGGCGGTTTTTGGCCTTGTATTGCAAGTGCATGTGAGGAGATGACGTTAGTTTGAATCGTTGAATTTATTTATCTTGCAAGCCAGAACAGAGGGGAGAAGGGGAAATAAATTCATCGCTTCACATACACTTGCAATACAAGCCCAAAAACCAGCGTAAGTTACGGACTCGCTTTATGAAACGAAGCCCTGATGATGCAGGTCAGTGCTGAGGCAGCTGCGAGTGCGAACTCACGCGTTCCACCAACACCCAGTCCCTCTCACCAGTGATGTCCAGTCTCCTCAGCGACTTGGGCAGCAGCCGAAGCCACTTGCCGGAGCTGTCCACGGGTGGGCTCACATCGAGCCGCTCCAGAGCCTTCAGCGGCTCCAGCAGCGCCTCCAGCTGCCAGTCGCTGATGCCGGCCGGCAGCGTCAGCTCACGCAGACTGGAGGCGTTGGCACGCGCCAGCCGGCGCAGGGCAGAGACCCGCAGCTTAAAGCCGCGCAGGTTGGCCTTCTCCAGGGCGTGGCAGGTGGCCGCTGGAATAAAGCAACACCAGTCAGTGAAGAAGTGATTACTGATATGGACAAGGAATGACAGTTACAGCGGGACAAAGCGTACCAGTTCGTGTGTAGCGCGTTTCACACAGGACTCACCGACCAGTCGGAGGTCGGTGTCCGTCTCAGCGGCCGGCGCCTGCAATTCGGTCATCTTCGGCTGGTCCTGCACCTTCAATACGAGCTCTAGGCTCGTGGCCGGCGCCGGGACCTCTCCACCACGGGTTTTCTGATCGGTTAGCTCCCGCCGACAGTCGCCGACGATATCGTCGACGGCGGACCGCCACCGACGGCAGACTATTGGCACCGACGAAACAGAAGGAACAAGTGACGCCAACGGAAAGCCTCAAACTCAAAGTCCACAAACTCAAAGTCCACAAACCAGCAGAGTTTTTAGAGATGTCAATTACGGAAAATCGGAATACCGATACCAAACCAAATACCAACCAAAACCATAAAGTAATACCGAAACCAAACCAACTTGGGAACATCAGGGAAATACCAAGTTTTTACTAATATCTCCAGCCTCTTATACGTTAGAGGGTTCATGATACCAACAAAATACCAAACACATTAGGATTGAAATACCAAATACCAAGTTGGTATCGGTTTGGTATCGGTATACCTAAAAGTTGGTATCCGATTGACATCTCTAGAGTTTATATTTCTGGCAAATACACGGCAACCATATTACGGCGGCCGTTCACGTCTCTAGCAGCCCTTTACCTACCATATTACGTTCAGATTTCCGACCAGGCTTCCCCATTGCTGAACTCTCTGATGGCTAAGGAAAAAACAGCCCGGATAATATTGTGAAATAATGCCTCGCCAGTCGCCAGGGCACTCACCCCGTCTGGCGCGAAACATGTCCCTGCAGTCCATCTTGCTCAGCACCATCTTCAGCAGCTCGGTATCAAGGTGGTAGATGTTGGTCTCGCGAGGCGCGGGCGGCCTCAACTTACCGGAAGCCGCCGGCCCCATCTCCTCCGTAGTTAGGGTGACGTCACAACTGGTGGTGGTGTCACACTTGTCACGAGTGTCACTGTCGGCCTTCAGTGAGACCACCTCTTCGCCGTCACTGTGGTGAAATGACGCCAGAGTGACGTAGTAAGACGTCATTTATGGTCAGTCATAAGGCGATAATTTCGAGATGTCTTCATTTTACCGAGACAGCACCGTACCATGGGCCCACGTAGGTAAGCCCATCCAGTGTCTTACAGACAAACTGTATACACAACCGGGTTGGTTCTTACAGACAAAATGCCCACACAACCAGGTTGACTCTTACAAACTGTCTACACAACCGGGTTGACTATTACCGACAAACTGTCTACACCAAGTGTCATCCCTTGCAGCCAAAAGCGGCTGACTCTAATGTTTACCCTTATCTTTGCCCCCCCCCCGTGCCACCCCTGCTGCCTCTCAGCCTCACCCCTGTAGACGGTCGGATAGCGCCGCTCGCCGGCGGACCTCCTGCCGCAGCTCCTCCACGACGACCTGGCGAGTGGTGCGCTCCTCGAGGACAGCCTGTCGCAGGCGGACTACCTCTTCACGTAGATGGACCACCTCCTGACGCAGTGTAGTGTTGTCTCCCTTCAGTGTGGCGTTGTCTCCCTTCAGTGTGGCGTTGTCTCCCTTCAGTGTGGCGTTGTTTCCCTTCAGTGTGGCCACTTCTCCCTCCAGTCCGACCACTTGTTCACTCAGTGAGTCGCAGTTTTTCTTCAGAGTGGTCAGTTCCCCATCCCAACGGACCATGACCTCTTGATTACGATGTGTCATTTCCTCCTTCAGAAGTGCCATCTCTTCTTTCATCTGGATAAACTTCTCTTGGAGCTGTCCAGTCTCCATTTCTAAAACAGAAAACGTACGGTATAAGACTGAGAGAACGGTTTCACCTTAAACAGGCTAATGGTCGTAACGGCATGTGTCTATGGCTATTCTGTGAGTTTATGATTTTTTAACCCTCGCCCGTATAGGGGGGGGGGGGGCGAACGGACCCCCCCCCATGGTTTTTCGCGAATAACTCGCGTAAAAAGCGGCCGATCGCGACGAAACTTTCAGTACCCTCGCGTTAATCAATTTTACACCTACTCTGAAAATTTCATGACCCTGGCCCCAATGACCTTTGACCTGTGACCTACTTTTCGAGACCATGTTTGGCCGGAATCGCGATTCGGCGTATGTCGGCTCGCATTAGCCGCGCGTTTGCAGTCTTTTCGTGGTTTCAAGCGTTCAAACATGTGATATGATGTTGCCCCCATGCGTTAGGGTGGGTGTCAAGGTCACCTGAAGGTCAGGTCAGGTCACTGACCTTTGATGACCTCGGTTCACTTTTTCGAGTTTTACATGTTTCTAGGCCAGTTTTTGCAGCTGAATTCGAATTTAGCAACCATTTGAACATTTACGAAGTGGTTTTGGTGCCTTCATAACATGTTACGAAGCTGTCAGAGGCGGTTGACACCTATACTAGGAATACCCGGCAGGACCCCTACTGCTTGACCTGACCTGACCCGACCTGGACTAAATGCATGAAGACATTATCTGTGATCAAAACGAACGTGATATTCGTGATCAGCACCCCGAAAAACCCCGTAGCAGCCGCCACACTTTACGACGTTCTAACAGGTCCCGATTTTCCCGACTTTTATGTCATTGACCTGACCTGCAAGGTCAGCCAATGACCGAGGACCATAAAATTAGGTGTCATCGGCTTCCTCTCGTCACGGGCAACACGCTCGTTTTTTCCGCGAAGCTCTAGCTCGATCAGGGGCGAAACGGCAAGGGGGGGTCCAACGGACCCCCCCCCCCTTATACGTTCGCGGCTGGAAAAACACCAATACGGGCGAGGGTTAACACATACCGTTGTTGGTCGGAAACCCAGGAGTCATGACGTCACTATAACCTCAATCTTAATTTTCCCCACCAATTTGTTTGAAATTTCATCGCAATGAACTTCAATTTATTCCCTACATGCAACCAGAATTTGGCACTCCTGCGACGCGGCCGTTTTTTTAAGCGCGGCGAAAAAGTGGGGGTTTAGCTCATCCAGCAGCTCGCGGGTAAAGTAACGAAGTTTTCGAGACACTATGATGCGGTACGTATAGAATAACCCCTTTCCTCAGCCCTGATCTGGCCAGTCCCCCGGCCCTCTCATAACGAGTGGATGGGGGGAGATACGACTCCTGGCGGGGCTTTTACAGAGCTACTTTTATACGTCAGAGGCTGGTGTAGGCGTGCTGCGTGAGCCACAGCTGGTTCGTACGAAGTTTCATCCACAGTTGGTTCGTACGAAGTTTCATCCACAGTTGGTTCGTACGAAGTTTCATGTCTGTTTTCCCCACCCGCCGTGAACTCAGCCGAGGGTGTTCACGGACTCCCTCGCCGATCACTTCCCTCCACAACCTCCCCCTCCCCTCCCCTCCACCCCCCGCTGACCCCCTGACCCCGCTACCCCCGACACCGAGCACCGGCCACTCGACCCTCGGTGTCGTGTCTCCGTCGGCTGACTCGGTCGTGGATCAGCTCCGTGTCTGTCTGTTCAGTCAGCAGAAACACCGGTAGAGAGCAACTGGAGCCGGGGAGAGAGGGAGAGAGAGGTAGAGAGAGAGAGAGAGAGAGAGAGAGAGAGAGGGAGAGAGAGAGAGAGAGAGAGAGAGAGAGAGAGAGAGAGAGAGAGAGAGAGAGAGAGGGGGGGGTGGAAACGGCCCGCCGTTCCGGTCAGATCTCCGAGCCGTGGTCCAAATGGACGCGTTTCCCAGTATACAGGCCGTGGTGAGGCACAGCCCTCCTTCGCTGCGGGTTACCTATCAGTGGTTACCTATCTGTGATGAGGCACAGCCCTCCCTTACTGCGGGTTACCTATCAGTGGTTACCTATCCGTGGTGAGGCACAGCCCTCCCTTACTGCTGGTTATGGAATCAGTTGAGTTAATTTTACATCACTGAAAAACTGATGCCAAACAAGGATGACAATTGACATCGTTTGGTTTCGCTATAACAAAACTCAGTATCCGATTGGCATCTCTAAAAGGAACCCTCTACACGTTCTTAGTACCTACAAGGTCTGTTGCTGTAGGTCACCAGAAGTCAGCAATTCGTGATGTCAATTGGAGATAAACTGGATACCGATACCAAACCAAATGCCAATCTAAACCACGAGAAAATCGGAGTAACTTGGACAGCAAGGAAAAATGCCTAATTTCACCAAACCAAAAGCCTCTTTTACAATAGCGTGGATTTATAATGCCTACCAAAAATTCAACAAAAAAAGTTTTGCTTGCAATACCAAACTCGACCTGACATATTTCCTCCGACAAGCTCCTGGTAGCTACTAGCTAAGTCGTCTCCATGGCAACCGCCAGCCGAGCCCAAGAGAAGAAAGGGACTCCCCCCTCTCTCACGCGCAGCGGAGCGAACCGCGCCAGGGGGACTTCCCCGTTCGGTAAAACTGAAGCTGAGGGCCCGTTGTTTTTTAGATACAGTATGCTGCTGTCCATATCACATTTTTACATATCCTGAATATTGAAATGATGCTCATTAGAGTTGTAAACACCACGATAACCCATCGAGGCCAGGTCTGCACTCCTTATCAAACCTTGACCTAGTCCGGCCAAAACTAGCCCAGCCTGACTAATCTTTACCTTACCCAACCACTCACTTCACCCTGCACCCAAGGCCCTATATTGATATACCCCTACAACTACCTAACCCTGAATAACTACCTACCACTGGCAGAAAGCTATCCTGCAGATTACGTCAGACTGATGGGGGTGTATCACGTGACCTCACCCCAGCGGATTACCTCAATGTTGGTTGCGCTGATAAACATCGTTATTTAGGTTTAGGGCATGGAACAGAACAGAACCTATGCTTGTTCAACTGTTGGAGCTCAGCATTCGGCCATACCATAACCCGCGCCGGGCCGGTGCTCTGAGATTCCGCGCCGGGCCGGGGGGGGGGGGTGTCTGAACACCCCCCCTTCTAACTCGGCTCCTGGGCCACGTAGCGACACGCGGTAAGCGGCAATCGAAAGAACGTCCAAAATAAGGACGAAAACACTTCGGTCATTTTTTGGGTCAGGTCAAAGGTCAGGGCACCAGAGGTCACCAAAGGTCAAATGTCCGCTATTTCAACATTTTGGAAACTGCCAACGGCTATCTCGGGAACCGATAGAGCTACAGCGCCGCGGAAAAGCGCATTCGATAGCCCTTTTACAGACCTTTCTGAGTAATGTTCTCAGATTTGACCTCAGGTCAACGGTTTAGCCTCCAGGGGGCAAAAACTCCAAAAATAGCCGTTTTTACGAAAAACGTTTTTTCGGCAATAACTTTTGACTCAAAAGAGTCATGACATTACTTTTACCACCATCGTGTTCCTCTCGTCGAGACGCGTCGAATGAACTATAATTTGACCTTGAAAGGTCAACTTGAAAATTTGACCTCAGGTCAAGGTCATGACCTGACCGGAAAAGGTCATGTTGCATATCAGTCGATCCGCAACGTCGAGCCAAACACATCTAAGGCGTTTTCAGCGCTCTAGCACGTCTCTTTCAGAAGTTATTAGCGAAAAACTGTTAGATTCTGTTCGTGACCTGAGATGACCTCGGGGACATAACGAGGGGTCAGAGTTGCTATTTTCCGGTTCAGTGTGTCCATTTTACCTACATCTCGATGTTTGAGAGTGTCTAGAATAACGTTCGTGCAAAACAGACGCTTTTCAATTTTCTCCCATTGACTTATAATGGAGAGGTCGCAAAATTGACCTGACCTTAGGTCACCGATATCAAAATTCCGAGATATACATTTTATAGATATTGTTGCTCTAATCAATCGCTGAAAGTTTCAAGGCAATCGATCAATCGGTGTAGCTATGACGAGCATTCTTATTTTTTCTGAGGTGAGGTCACTTGGCGTGACCTGGTGACCTGACCTAAGGTGACCTGGGTCTGAAATTTTCACAACATGTGCGAAAAAGATGCACGAACAGGTGTGCCGAAAACGGCGGCGCTCCGCGCCGCCGTTGCGGAGCGCCGCTTTGAGATATCTGCGAAAAACCGCAGGGGGGGTGTTCAAACACCCCCCCCCCCGGCCCGGCGCGGGTTAACCCGCGAGTTGCTGGGGGGGCGTTAAACGCCCCCACTTTTTTCGCCGGGCCATAGCATAAAAACGGCGCGCCGCAGGCGCGCCAAATTTTGGGTACCTGTAGGGAATTGATTGAAGTGTATTGTGACAAAGTTTCAAAAAAATCGGTCGGAAAATTTTTGAGATATCGAGGTTTTAGTGACGTCATGATTTCTGAGTTTTCGACCAAAAACGGCATATGTTCAAAAAATCATATAAAATCACAGAATAGACATACAGACATGCCGTAAACGCCATTAGACTGCCAATACCATGAACAATCAAATGGCTATCTTCGATTATTGATTGTCGTTCCGGATTTTCCAAAATCTTCAACTGAATCTTGGCAATTTCTCGTGACTTCTTCACGACCATGATACATGCATTTCTTAAATCGAACTTTTTGAGCCAAACACGTACACATATGATAAAATGAATGTCACCATCGTGTTCTACGCCCCATATTACCCATAAAACATGTGTCACAGGCTGCGAATATCAGTTTTGATTTTCGGGGATATTTGCCTACCCGGTTGACCTGACCTTGACCGTGACCTATGCTTGACTGACCCCTACATGGAGCTGACACTCTTGTAGGCCTTATATGATGGATTGTGCACCGTTTTGACAGAGTTTATGACGAGAGGCGCCCATTGCTTCTCAGTCGTCGTCGGTTCCACCCATCGGGTGCACCATCAGGTTGTCCTCCCTGATGACCCTCTGCTGTCCCTTATCTCAGCCTTTACGTTAGGTACTGTGCAAGACGCTAGTGGTGGCACCGGGCAAGGAGAGACTGGGAGGATGAGGACAGGATTCTTTTCTTGTCCCGCTCGTTTCAACTGCTGCCGACATGCAGACTGCAGTTCCTTTTGTATCCTTGTCTTGTATAGGTAATTGATCAACAAGGCCTCTTCTGAGTCAGCATTGCGGACAGTCAGCTTCGCAGGTAGAGTCCTATTTAACCTCGCATTCCACCTCCTCTGTCCTTCCTCACGTTCTTGCCGCAGTTCCACACACTCATAAAGAAAGTGTTCAAGAGTTTCTGTTGCTTTCATGCATAATGGACAGATCTCATTTCGCTCAGCGTGCCTTCTTAAGACTCCTGTGGCAAGAAGCGACTGCTCCGTTAGAAGTCGTATCCTCGTGCCTGTCGCTTGTCTGCCAATAACACTTAGTCTGTTTTTCGGCCAGAATTGATTCGCTGGCTCGTATTCTTCCATATTTTGTGCAATATCGGCGATCCACTGTATAGTTTGTCTCTTGCTAGCTTCTTCTATAATCATTGCTTTAGTATACGCGTTGATGGCTTGTTTGCAAACTTTATACCAGCTCTTACCCTGTACTCCATTTGTTGTCATCATTTGTATTATGCCTGGTAGCTTCAATGCGGTAAAGTAATGTTCCCATTGCCTTAGTATGCTCGAGCTCCTGTCCTTGTTGAGAGCACCGTGCAGTACCATGTATTCCGTCAGTGCATGCTCCCGCGCTGCTTTAGCGAGAAACTGAATGAATTGCATAGCTGCTCTCATTATCATCACCTTAGGGGGTAACGCTCCAAGCATCATGTACACAGCTAAGTTCTGGGTTCTTCTGGGTAATCCTTGCATAGCCCTCAGAAGTCTTACCACCATCACCTCCATGTAGTTAATTTCTTGATTTGTGAAAATCGTCACTGGCATGGAGTACAGGAGTATCGGTTCAGCATATATTTTCCATGTGGTGTAAAGAGACAGTGGGCTTGTACGGGCAACGTTAAGGCCTTCTGGGCACCTTGCAAACATCGCTCTTCTCGCCCTTTTCATACCATCTTCGATTCTCTTTCTTCCTTCAGCCTTGTTGGTCATATGGACGCCCAGATGGGTATATTCTGTGGTTACTTCAATGTGCTCTTTTCCTAGTAACCATCTTCTGCCATCTACGCATTTCCCATATACCATGATTTTGCTCCATGCCATTGCGAAGTCCTGAAGTCCATGCTACTGAAAGCCCGATTTCAGGTGTTTGACCTGACCTTGACCCGACCTGTGACCTCAAAATTCAACTTTAAAGTACTCATCTGAAGCGTCTCGTCGCGTTCTTTCGTTTGCCGCCTCGTGCGTTTCGCTGCGCCTATTGGTTCTCGAGTTATCGGCTGGGGGCGTTTAACGCCCCCCCCCCCCAGCAAACGGTGTGTGGCGAAATACCCCAGCAACTGCCGGGTTAAACACGTTACCGTGCCGCTGAGGACCAGCCCCTGGAAAATACCCACAGGCCACACAAAGACCACACTGTTTAGCCAGCCCCCCCCCCCTCATCCCCACAGAGATATGTGACCGTCTGTGTCACCCCTCCTCTGACCCCTCTCTCTGACCTCACCTCGTCTCCTCTGTCCGTACTGTCGTCTTAGCCGTCCGTATTTCTCCGTGTCCACTTTCCGCACTCTCACCTGCGACGCCACACTCCCAGCTCAGCCACTGGCAGTCCCAAGGCCGTCGCTCGACCGTCAGCCGCCTCTGGTTCCGACAATCGCCGATAGGTGGCAGCAGGTCCTGGGCTCAGTTTGCCGTATGTGGTTCCGACTTCCGACAACCGCCGATAGATGACAGCTGGTTTCCAGCAGTCTGTCAGTCCGTGGGATTACGTGACAAAAGATCGTAAGACAAAAGATCGTATGGAAAAAGATCGTACGAAAATGATCGTAAGATAAAGATCGTATGTTGTAAAAGATCGTACGGTAAAAAGATCGTAAGCAAAAGATCGTAAAGCAATTGATCGTATGCAAAAGATCGTACGAAAATGATCGTAAGATAAAGATCGTATGTTGTAAAAGATCGTACGACAAAAAGATCGTAAGCAAAAGATCGTAAAGCAATTGATCGTATGATAAAGATCGTGGGAAAATGATCGTAAGATAACTATCGTATGTCGCAAAAGATCGTACGACCAAGGATCGTAAGCAAAAGATCGTAAAGCAATGGATCGTACAAAAAAGATCGTAGGAAAATGATCGTAAGATAAAGATCGTATGTTGTAAAAGATCGTTCGACAAAAGATCGTAACGTTACGTTCGTAAAGTAAATAATCGTATAGAATAGTGTTGTTACGTGCGAGCGAGCGCAGCGAGCGAAGCGAAGTCTTTTGAATATAACGGGAAAATCTCAGTATAAGCGGCCCGGCCCGGCCCGGCCTGTAACGCTTTTGAGAGGCTTATATCTCAGCAACCGCTGAACCGATTGGCCTGCGGTCTTTTTTGCTGGGTAGCCCCATCCCTTCTTCCCCGTAATTGACTACTTTTGATATATCTCAGTGGCCGTCGTGGCACGTGCCACGTGAAAAGTCAAGGGTGTTCAAGTAGTTTTGCAAAAGTAATGATTTTGAGAGGCCCATATCTCAGCAGCGGCTTGAGCGATTGTCTTGCGGTAATTTTTGTAGGGTAGCTGCATCCCTTCTACCAAAGGTCGGATACCCTTGATCTATGTGAGTGACCCCCAATGCACGTGCAAAATACAAAAAGAAGAGGTGCCAAATTTGTTCCCATTTCAGTAACTCGGTAATTACTGGGGCGATTTCGAACCAATGATGGACAATTGACATCTTTAACCGGCCTTCGATAACAATGACTCCTATAACTAGGATTGGATTGAAACTAGGATCCTATAACTAGGAGAATTGCGACTTCGATAGTGATAACGCGATAAACATCTGTTGATGACTCGTAAAGCGATGACGATTCAATACGAAAATGTAACAGTGCGAAGGAAAAAGTATTTTTAACGCCGTTTACTTCAGCCGCTTAAGCAACACTTTAACCTTCCAGACGGTGGGGGGTGGGGGGGGGGGAACATGGGTTTAGTTGTATTCACTTCAATATGTACATGAAAACGGCAGCACATACGTTCATTTATTCGGCACATATACAACGCGTTGCTTTTAGGTGTCATTGAGCCATCTCAGCTCTGAAATAACATCAATGTATGGTCGAGCTTACGACGGCCACTTACTACGCGAACACAGAAATTGATAAGCTTTGTATGCGCTGGAGTTGGGCTGCACCATGTGAATACCATATTTTTACTGTACGATCTTTATCTCATACGAGCATTTGGCGTACGATCATTTTCCTTGACGATCTTTAGCGAATACGATCTTTTGCCCACACGAGCATTATGTCGTACGATCTTTATCCATTACGACTTTTTGGCATACGATCATTTTCCTTGACGATCTTTAGCGAATACGATCTTTTGTCCATACGATCATTATGTCGTACGATCTTTATCCATTACGACTTTTTGGCATACGATCATTTTCCTTGACGATCTTTAGCGAATACGATATTTTGTCCATACGAGCATTATGTCGTACGATCCTTATCCATTACGATATTTTGCATACGATCAACTGCCTACGATCTTCTGCCATACGATCTTCTGCTTTACGATCTTTTGTCCGGTTACCCAGTCCGTGGCGTTGAATTTTAGGCCTTTAACTTTTGATTTTTACTTTTTAAATTTTACCAGTCGTGCGATTCGCTCCCCAAAATTCAAAGAATATTTAACCCTCGCCCTGGCAGGGGGGGGGTCGATGCGACCCCCCCCTAAGGTTTTTCGAAGATAGCGTAAAAACGGCGGCGCGCAGCGCCGCCAAATTTGGCACAGCTTATGGGGCAACCTTTTTACATATGACCTGAAAATTTCAGGTCCGGGTGACCTTGGGTCAGGTCACCAGGTCAGAAAAACCGGTACAAGGTCATGGTCAAATTTCAATTTTCTTTTTCCACCTGTCCAACTCACAGTTTTGCACTGATTTCCTTCAAACTTTCAGGATGTGCTAAGTTCACCGAGTTGTATAACATATAGTTCGGGTTTTTTGAGGTCACTGACCTGAGGTCAGTTAGAGGTCATTACGTCGTAATGTTAAGCCTATGGGAAAATACTAAATTCGGAAAATACTGGAGATATCCGCTTCGTTCTATCATTTTTGTGCTTTGAAACCACAGTACTTAACAGCAGGTCACTTGGTGCTTCTTTTTTTGGTGTACTTATCCATGGGTCAGGTCAAATGAGGTCAACTGAGGTCAAATGACGTTTTTGCCAATAACTTGGCACATAATGACGCTAGAGCTTAAAAAATGGTATCATTGTGTTCCTGGTGATCAGCCGAATCGAATGATATGCGATATGATGCAATTTGGTTAACTTAAACTTAATTTATTAATTTAAGTTTACTTAAAATTTAAGAAAAACTTTAAGTACACTTAAGCAAGCTAAAAAGTATATCATTCGACGCGCCTTGACGTGCTGAGTTCACTGGTGCTTTTCATTTTGCTCTATCTTAATTAGATCAAAAGTTATAAGCGAAAAACTTTTGACCTGTTTTTAGCGAAATTTTTGCATTTATACCCCCCAAAACCCCCCTAAATATTGACCTAGAGCAACCAAATTTGTACAGGAGCGAGAACTCCAGGGGGCCCACCTACCTACCAAATTTGGTGTTTCTAGGTGCCATAGGAGCCAATCGCGAGGGGGGGGGGTCGCATCGACCCCCCCCCTGCCAGGCCGTGTTATGAAAAATGCCCTGCCAGGGCGAGGGTTAAAGATACATCCACAATGCTGTGGCTCTTCCACACCCGAGTCACCTTACGACTCGGGTGTGTTTTACGTCAGTGGAGGTAAAACCAGGATAGGTAGGTATAGGGCAAAACAACGGTGAGGCTAACACAGATAAACACAAACACAGTACCATTCATTCACTCCTTGCATTCACTTATCAGCCATCAGTCCCAGTATCACAACAGTACCACGTGTACAGCCACTGGCGGATCCAGGGGGGGCCACGGGGGCCATGGCCCCCCCCCCCAAAGGCCTAAAGTGGCCTGTTTGCCCCCCCCCAAAACGCCAGAAAAATTGCTAAGAAAATATACCTTGATGGAGGTTTTTAGCCACTTGGTGAAGTAAAGCTTTCCACAGCATAATATGGAAGCAATATAGTAGCAGTGAGGGTCAGTCAAAAGTTGCGCGAGCGGAGTCGACCTTAAAGGGACCCTCCCACCTTCAAAAAAGTTAATGAATTGTCATGAAAGTGATGTCGCTCGGTTCAGAAAGAGCAAAAACGAATATCTACCATATTTCATCGAAAAATATTCACCGGTTTTCAAGATATTAGACTTTTACTTTTGTTTACTTTTTGGGATCTCCGCTGTTCCTAGCGACTTTATTTGAAAGTGCGGCATTTGTTGCGCGCAAAGCAGCATATACCACCGCGTGCTACAAAACGTTTTAGTCAAACATTTAAAAATCGTTAGATATCTGCGCTGACGTCACACATTCAGAGGGGTATTCCTATGCATTAGCCCCTCTGAATCAAAATGCTGCAATTTTGAAATTCAATATTTCCGATTTAAGGCATTTCTTGATGTTGTGAGTGCCGAAACCGGTAATTGTGAGCCAGGGACCCCATTTTGGCTATCTCAACTCAAATCTAATGTTAAGGTGGGAGAGTCCCTTTAAAAAAAAGACTGTTCATGGTGTGTCAAAAGTGGAAATAGCCGGTGCGCCGTCTGGCAACCCGGCAGCCCGCCGCCATAGGGAAATTCATGCTTTTTGTCGCTTTTTCGCTCCCTATGAGTCACTTGATCTAATTAGAGCTTAACTAGGAACGAGGCGGGTCACTTGGACGTATTCGGGAGCCGAATACGGTGTTTTGGAGCCAATACCTGGAAAACCCTACCCGCCCAATGCGATTTTTTAAGAGTCTGCATGCCCAAATTAACGTTGAGCGCGGCCGTTTTCGGTCGGTTTTCCCCGACCTTGTGGCGAAATCGCCTTATTTATTCAACCAGGGTGGGCTAATTCGCTTAACTAGGAATGAGGCGTTGAAGAGAATTATTCAAGGAATAGAGCTGTGCAAAAAATATTTTTTGTATTGTTAAAACTGTATCCGCCCTCGAACGATAAATATTGTTGACCCATCAGAAGCACATCACCTGGAACGCGTTTGGACTTGGCTGGATCTAATATTAGCGAGCATCTGCTAATGCAATTTCTTGGCTTACATAGAACGGACACAAGCATACATACTTCCTGCCCTTGGGTATTCCTCACTTGAAGGAAAATTTTGCTATAATAACTATTCCAAGCAGTTAACAGGTTTTAGTGCAGTGCCAATTCGGAACCGTTCAGCGCCGCCAGTCTCTCAGGCGGCGCGTAACGGCTGCCGCCGGCCGCCGCGCCGCCGCTCTGGCAGGGTGTTTGACTTCATATCTCTGTTGCTAGAAAAGTTGTGGACCGATTTACTTGATTCTTGCATGAAAAGATCCGCCATTCAATTCTTAGCAGACAACGAAAATTTGACGTTGATTGCACGATCCGCTACCCATATTGTGGTACTGCCATCTATTGACAAGGCTGGCGAACTAAAGCCGGGCGGCTATTTCCACTTTTGACACACCATGTGTTGGCACGTGTTTATGGCGCGGCAGCTGGTAGCAGGGGGGATGTCGTCCC